TGTAGTTAACGAAATTAAAAATAGATTATTTGTAAAAATTTCATATCTGCATCAAGTGAAGACCACATATGAAGCGATGTAATCTATAGAGATAGGTTTGGATAACCTGTTTATTGAATAGGAAAGTTACTTTAAAAAGGAAATGTTGTCCAAGATGTTACTGGTTAATGAACAAAGGATAAACGTTTCTCTTGATCAATTTACTCCCTAAACTCTTACAATAAGTACAGCAAAGGAAATAGCTTTCCTTGCAAATCATAAGAAACCCTATCCACAAAATTGACACTTCTAACGAACTATATCAGTATTATGAGGTCCTGGAACTCATTCACATGACTTAAGCACACTAAGAAATGTAAACATTCCAAAGTAAATCTCATAAAAATGATTTGAAGAGGAGATCAGCATCCCAACAGTAAGAATAAGAAGTCATGATTGGTTATGGTGTTAAATACTTACTAATATGCAAAAAGAGATTACAGGATGATCTAATCCGTCCCTGTTATACCGTCTCAGTTGGAACACAATTTGCTGACACTAGTAGAGCTGTTGAAGTCTTTTCAGAATTACTAAACAAACTTCCAGATAAGCTCTTATCCAACGTTCAAGCAAATAATCGTAAACTGATTATTAATTAAGATGAAATGTGCATCTACTAGAACATAGATCCATGTAGACGAGTTAACTGAACTTTAATGATAATGGATATTTTGATGTATATTTTATAAACATTGACTAGGAAAATCCCACGTTGATACAATTGAACAGAGACTGGAAATTAGAAAACCAAAGTTATCTATTTAAGGTGTATAATTTCAATATGTTTTGAAGGAATACCGATAAATCAATCAGATAACTATAACACTTCCTAATGTTGCACATCATATCATTAAATCAGGTTAATCTAAATTCTGGAAAACATATTAGCTAGAACATGAAAGGCTGAGAGTAGCAAAATATCAATTCGATGGTGCGTTCAGGTTAGACATTACCCAGATCTTGATTATTTTAGTCAAGTGATTTGTGGAAAAAATTTCTGACCTACAGAAAAGCCATAATCATTCGCTTCTAGCACTAAGAAAATGAACATGAGAATAAAAATTTCTGAAATTAAAAACTTTCTGTATTAGTAAAAATTTCCACACACCTAAACTATATAGTAAAAAAAGTAAATACACTATTTGAGTAAGCGTAAGAACAGTAATTACTGAATAAGATGAAAAAGGATTTCAGTTTATAAACTAATTTAATTAGTATAATATTATGAAAGTTAATACTGATTTAAAGCCGATTACGAATATAAATATACGTCTCGAATGTATTCGCTTACATTGGTAAACAGTCGCAGTTATGTGTTACACATCATGTTACGTTTTCCTTAAACAGTGAAGACCTGGATTATGTATATACCTATACACAAACATACGCTCACTTAAGTCAAGATGATTCATTTAGCTAATAAATTTTTGGTTACATACACTGTAACAATAATAACAAACGAAATAAATATTTCCACTGTTATTTCCATCTTGAACTTTGAGATCAACTATCAGAAGTGATTTTAATATTAGAAGTGGAATGAATAATCGAATGAACCAGAACACATTCATGTAGTCAACTGAGCCGTCTGAATGGTGAAACACAAACATGATTTGGTGACAGAAATCATTGAGTTTAATATTCCTTCTTAATCAACAACATAGAGATACACGGTTTACAGCAGGATAATAAATAGATAAATGGACAAACGGCGTTTGGACATACATACAGCCATTTTTCACATATTCATTCTCTTAGCCAGTATTGCTGATTAAATGGTTATGCATTATATTTTATACAGAATCAGCTCAAAGAGGGATCTGTCTGATTGAGTCTCTATCTCCAATCATCTGAAAGAAAAACAGTATCCATCCACCGTTTTTAGTAGCTGACTATCTAAAATAGCATCATTCCGTTTTTATTTGTTTTTGATAATTTCATAATTGTAGGTTGTTGGAGTTTGATTATGAAATGAATGTTACACTTTCAAGTAGCTGTATGATTATTTATATTGATTAGATCTACGTGCTTTACAAAGTCGTTTGTGGTCTGAGTATTCAAACTTTTGGATTGTGAATAGACAGACCTTGTTAGTTTTCCGTATATTGTAGAACAATGTATTAGATAAGTATTTTTGTAGCGAATAATTTTGTTTACTGTTAGACTAAGCGGTAGGCAATTAGAAATTCCTGCAACATAAATTCATTGTCACACCAAACTATATACAGGAATTAATATTTACATTTTATAGACCGAAAGGATAACTGCCATGATAAAATTACGAACGAAATCATTATAAAACAGTTTTCATGATGATTCGACATTCGTAAAACAGTCGATCGCAATAAAAGTCTACTGGTTTATTTTATTCATAGATTTATTAGGAGCCATTTAGTGAATAACTTCACAAAAACTTGTGCAGATCGATATTCAAAGGTAAAGTTGCACTGATGACTGTACAGAAGTAACATACCCGGTATTCCTGGTTATATACAGACGAAAAAATTGGAAACCATATTTTCCCTTGACTCATAGATTAACAGTGACGACAGTAAGTTCAGAAAAATTAGGAACCGTCATGTCAGTGTTTTTACAGAAATATAGTATGGAAATCGGTCCCTCACAGTTGTCCCTTGAAATCGAGGTTTTTGTCCTGATATCAACATCAGGTCTCAATATCAATCTAGTCACCTTTTTAAGTCATACAAGAGAACTATCCTTCCATGGTGCCGGGATTTGGGAAGTGATAGTTATCCGTACTCTATTTTCAGATCAGAGTCCCTTGATTTGTTAAGGCTGTGTTGTAGGGACTATCTATTTATGACAGGAAGTAATATCATATAATAGGGTTGCAAACTAGAAGAGGTTTATGAACTTTGAAATTGTATTCACTTCAATACAAAACGTTATTTTCATGGAAGGGAAAATATCCACAATAATGACCTTGGGTTCTAATCAAAAGATTCACATAACATAAACTAGGAAACCAGGTAATTCATTAATTGTCTTTATTTAGTAACAAATGACAAAATAGTGCGGAAAAATTGAACATATGAATTTTGAAATGGATAATGAATTCAACAGGTTTCAATCACTGACAGCTACAGACCTCGGTAATCATGTGCGTGAGCTGAGACGCTAACCAACGAAATATAAACAAAAACTTTTGCGAAAACAGCACAGATAACTTGCAACAACACTGGTCTCACAACCGAGGAGTGTCAAAATATCGAGAAGCTGTCAACTGAATAGACCCTTAAATATGGCAATGTTATCAATGCAGCACTATAAGCTTTTAAAATATCTGAACACTATTGAGGAAGACTGGTTAGTTATGTTTTATGCTTTTGTAGTACATGATATTTCCGAGATCAATGAAATTAGACTTATGTCAATAGAACTAGTCATAAGTGTTTTTGAATTATGGTGAATGATTACATTTCAATGGAGTTGAACATTACATACAAAATAAAAAAGACGGGAATATTCAAGGGTACAAATTGTCACAGTATACAGGCATATACATAGATCTTTCCAGTTTACCTAAATTTGCATTTATTGTCAATATTATCATAAAATTTCAAAGCCATAATTAAAATGAATTGATGAATTATCCCAATATTTTATTGGCGTAATCATCTATTAGTATAATAATCAACTTCATTTGTTTTTCTTCGTTGATGAAAAGAAAGTTGGGTCAGATTACTGAGTAACAGAATGTATGCAATTTTATTCTAGTGAAATATTTTATGACCATGAAAACAATAGCCATTTAATTATATGATACATTGATATGAAGTAAATGGATATTACAATGTTACTTCAATTATTAATATATTCTAACAAGAATCCATAAGATGTTGTATACCTTATATTAATGGGGTATCGAGCACCGTTTTAAAATTAAATAACTCGCCACTCCGATTAGTTCTAACATTGGAAGATATACTGAAGCTCATTTGTTGTCTAGTAGCTCATATTATCGATGAGGTGTAACATTTATTAATTGTATGCAGTACAACATTGGATATTTTAAAATAACACTGATATAATTCATTGAATGTATAGAACCTAGTTAGGGAAATATCGCTAGCAGTGATGTCAAAATGAGATTATTTCAAGACTAGCAAAATAATTGGATTCACACAGAGAAATGGATTACTTGATAAAGCTTTACGAAGTATCAATATAAGCTCGTTACTAGGTATTAGAGTATTGAAGTTATTTTAGCAAAAAAATATGAAGTTTCGGTCTTTAAAACCAGTTAACGTCAGTGTACTTACTAATCTTTAATATCATCCAATGAGACTGATCCATGAAACTCAGTAAAACGTAACCCTATTATAGTGATACAAAACAGTTAATTAATACACTATGCTTAACACCTACTAAAAGCAACTCAACATCGTTCTTCGAAAACAATTCCTAAGAACATTTTTGCTGATGAAATGATATTTCTAAATATCATGTTTTAGACACAATTTCTGACCGAAATGTCAAGAAACAAAATAAGCATTTCAAACAAGAACCTATTTTTTTATAAGTAGAACTTTGTATCCAACGAGAATTTCGCCGATAAATTAATCAGTACCAGAGATAGAGATTTTCAAATGAATAACTACTAGCTATTAGATAACTAAATTTTTACATTTCGAAGAACCTATAATGAAAATATGCAATTTCACATATTATTAAAGCTAACAATATCTAGGTCTCATTTCATTATCTAACATGTACAAGTCCCGCTTAAGAGGGAAAACCGAGCAAAAGCAATATTTATAAATCATGAACTTTTGAAAATTGTACTAATATATTTTTCAGCAGTTTGGATAAAAAGATCATATATATGTATATAATCAGTTACGAAATTACAGATATATATCCCATTATTAGTATACATGTATAGAAGTGTAAACATTTTAGTAAATAGCATAATTATATATATATATATATATATATATATATATATATATATATATATATAGATGCGTATAACTGTATTTAAGTATAATACGTAAAAGCAGAACATGGAAAGGAAAACCTAATAGCCATCAACAAAAAATGGAGCAAATTAACAACTGATCAGAAAAAAGAAGCGAACAAACAAAGAAATACATTTTAACAAAAGTGACTGAGCTCAAAATAAGACAGTAGCAATATACTACCACCACCTCTGATTCATACATACATGGAAAGTATAATCAGTTGAAAAATGCAACGAAACATTTAGAAAAAAAAACAAAACAAAAAAAACAGAGTATAAATAAATCAATCAAAAATTTATTACTAAATAATAAATTTGTTACGAAACGGAATTATAATAAATATGCACAAGGTTATCATCATTAGTATGTGTTGTGTTATTATCATCAGCAGTACTGCAAATGATGTACACATGCATACAATAACGTTAACTATAGTTGATTTGTGCAGAATGTACAAATTCCAATGTTGAATGTAACAAATTTAATCATTAAAAACAGAATACAATGTTAGAGATCAAGAGAAATAACATGAATAAAGCATTAGCTATTATTTATTATACAACAAGTGAATATTGAATTGAACAAATAGATAAACTGGTTTACATAAGGAAAAGTGGTCTGAGTATCTCTCTGAAATAAAACAAGCTGTAGTAGGTCAAAATAATTAAACAGTCAAACAAGAGGCAGACAAAGAAATTAACATTTCATTTTATATAAGTTTCTTATAGTTTACTGATCGCTTTTTCACTTCTCAACGACTAGACTTTAAAACAAGAGCAAAATCAGCAATAGAATGTCATTAAATATCAACTACATTATACATAAACAAATAATAAATATATGGGATAAATATTACATTGAGAAAAAAAAATGCTGTTATATAACATAAACAAGTTTGAGGGAAAAAATATCCCAGAGAAGGAATACACACAATAATGTTATTCAACTTAATTGTTGAGAAATATTTATTTAGAGAAAGTTACCAAACAGATTTTATAAGAGAAATTAGTGAGTTCACAGCATAAGCCACTGGTTAAATATTAAATGCGCTCCAACTATTTTCTTTACCATTAGTCGTAAACCAAGTATGAATGATCAACTACATATCCATAGAAAATATATAATGTATAGGAGAGAAAAATAGAGCAGCGAATACCACATCGAGGTAGTTGTTCTAAAGAACAGTACACCTGAATTACTTACTACAGCTGCACTGTAGGTTAACAAAACAGGTAAACCTATATTCATACTGATATAAACAAAAAAAAACTATGCATGAAGGAAAGGTTCAACCGGAGTTAAACACAACATATGAGAGAATAGGAGAAAGTAAATGTGTAAAGGGACATAAGAGAAAAAACCACATGTAATTACATTAGTAGAAAACATCATAATGCACAAACAACAAATACACAAAAATAATTTAGAAAAACGTCAAGAAAATTGCAATGAAACATAATGATATCCAAAAAACAAACAAGCAGACATATCTATTCAACAAAAGTAAATTATGTACATATGCATATATATATATATATATATATATATATATGTCTGAGGAAGAAATGTTAACATTTTCACAAAAACAGTACACAAAAAACAAAACGCTACTACCAGAGTTGAAACATTATATATCATTGTGGTGGATATACATATGAAAAATTATTTATACACCTATACGATTGTGTACCGAATTAACAGGTGGATGATTGATTTTAGTAAGGTGATCACAGTCTGTTCCGACAATACTATTATTATCAGTAATTGTTATTTGAGAATGCATTGAATTTGTGTCATTAGACTGTTGATTTGATAAGGAAACTGTAGAATTGTCTACCAGAGGATTAATTGAATGAATCGACTGGAAATTCGACTCTGAATAATAATCTGGTCTTAGTTGCACTAAGTGCATTTTATTAGGCTTACGACGGCTAGACCCACTAAGAGTAATAGTTGATTTGTTTTGTGCTTCAAATACAGGTGTATTAGATATTTGAATAGGTGGAAAGGGATTACATAAGCCAGGGACATTTTCATGAGAACTATGAACAGAAGAAATACCATTGATTTGCAATGGATATACAATAAGAGTATTGTCATCATCAGCACTATCATTAAGCCGTAATATTTTAGCTGGTCTTGATAAATCGAAACTATTATCACTCAATTGGTAATCAATTGAATTGTGGAAAATGTTAGTTGGTATTTTGGGTAAATCCATATCATCATTATCAACAACACTAGAATTTCCATTCACATCTTCACTTTCATGTTCGTTAGCCCTATCTTCTGGTAAATTTCCTCCTGTTCTGTTTGGATTGATGGCTTCGCTTTCGTCTACGATTCCAGCATCTTGAGCAGATATCTTGAGTAAAACGAGAAAAATTACTTTAATAAATCTCTCGTAAAAAAGACAAATAACACGAAATTATCCTTTAAAAGATAATATTTTACTACTAACTTTTTGAATTGTGATTGAACTGTTCGGACGTATTAATAAGCAACTCGCGAACAAAGAAATTTATATGAGTCGACACAACAAAAGTTATTATATAAGTATAACCCAATAATATTTGGCAAAATACAGTACCAAGAAACATGTCACACAGATTTAAATCGCGAAGGTGAGTGATAAGCATAGAATCTAATCCATTAAGAAAGTAACCCAGACACATTGTATTTGTAAATTTGTAAAATTACATACTACTAGTTTAAGAAGCACATGACAACATATTAGTCATTAGTTTCTGTTCTGAAAATATTCGAATTCACCGTTACGCATAACGTTTACGTCACCATTCTACGAGTTATCTGTCAACAGATGTGAACATATAATAATGAACATTCAGTTCCCAAAGTCGGTGTCGATAAACAGTAGTCAGTATAAAAGCTACAAAGGCGACGTGAATAGAACTTGTTCGAAACTGCATTACTTACTGAATGATTTCCACTATATGCAAGCGTACAGTGGCATTAACAACATTACTCATACAGTGTTGCTAACAGCTGAAATATTCATTGAATATCTTTAGTTAAAAAAGAGCAAAATTTTACATCAAAAACTATTTCTATTATGGCGTTGAATAACCATATATATATATATATATATATATATATATATATATATATATATATATATATATATATATATATATATATATATATATCTGTGCCAGGAACGAGACAAGGAGTAGTTGGGAAAGATTTAAAATTCTATCACGATTTCAAACAGTATAATAACATTTTGCTGACATATCAGACCACATTCTTTATGTAAAACCTCATATACGGTTTAGAAAAGCTCTTCAACAGTTGCCTCAAAGTTCCCAATTTGTGATTTAAATCAAGTAAATTTCACCATTCAGTTTTAATTCTATTGTGACAATCATTGTTTGAAGCTTAAACAAAATAGTTGAACACACACATGAGGGAAGAAATAAGAGGGAAGAAATAAGGGAAGAAATAAGAAAATAAAAGGGATTAATTTATCGAACTTAAAACGGGTCTACCCCATGATGTTTTTAATATAAATGTTTATCGACTAGAACTCTTATACGCCCAAATTATTACGTAACAAGTCATCGTGTGGATAAATTCGCAAATAACTTGACTAAAATTATTGGGTTTTATAGCGGCTGTGAACACGGAATAATATTACTTTAACTTAGTCGATCAGCCATATGCAACGTAGAACCTGATATGTGTACATAGGAGAATTCGCCACTCCATCAGCACACCGAGAAATTGTTGGGGCAAATCCCAGAATAGTAGAAGTAGTAACAGTATGTGTGGTGACTGGAAAGATTAGGCTCCGAAAATACGTTTCGAGAAAATGTAAATCAGTGAATTTAGAAGCATGGGGTCCAGAAGAATACAAAGGATGAGTAAACATGTCCTACTGTGGATGATTTTAAGCTATATCACCCAATCTCCAACCAATGATCATGATAATAACGCGGACCCCAACCAAGTAGTATACACCTGCTCTAATAACTCAGTCTAACAGTGTCTTCATGAACTAATGACATGTTTTTGTTTGGTCGCACCTAAAATTATTCCAACCTTTTATACCAACTGTCATCGCGCGTTTGGGCAGCTGATAGATGAGCATACGTAATACATGTCCTAGTAATCGTAATTGACAAATATTCGCTGCCACGTCAGTCGATCTGCAATTCTTACCTAGTACTCTGCGTCTAACCTCAGAATTGCTAATTCGATGGTTCCAATATAAGTGAGAAGTGTCTCCAAGGGATCTATGATCGAATACTAGTAATCTTTAATAAAAGTGGTTTCAAATTAAATCAGAGTCAATGGTACATAAACCAAAAACCAGGATCAAAGCGCTACTCCTAAAAAAGTGCGTTTAAAAGCAAGCCAAATTAACCAGTATACATAATGAAAATTAGGATTTAGTATGTCGGTTTGAACAGACTACGAAACCAGTTAAAGCCTAAAACAAATGTGTATTTTTTGCCATATATACTAACATTCATGTGAGAGGAAAATTTATTTAAACCAAATACTCAATTTTAAAAAAACATGAGCTTTTGCCCATTAGAAGATTTTTGGCACCTAATAAAATATTTTAGGGATTACTGAAATGTTACCTGACGTAGGCCTCGTCTCTGTAGGTTTACAAATTATTTGAAATGGAACTTTATGCGTTTATACGAAACACGAATATATATAGATCTTATGATTACTGTAATATAGCGAGTTTGATTTAATTTATCCCCATGATTACAGTACATATGTAATACATAAAAATCTGTTAGGGAAAGAATTTTAACGAAGTATTTTGACTACAGAATACTTAAAATTCACGACACACAGAAAGCTCATTTTAGAATTTCCATTTGAACCGACAATCGACTAAGTGATTTAGAGGTTAGGTGTTCATGTGTGATACCGAAAGTCCCAGGTTTGATTACCGGATGCAAGTTCGTGGGTAAGCAATGTTGAGGAGCACCATACTAGGAGGAAACACCAGTCAAGCGCTTCCAGGTTTTCAATGATGGTCTAGCTAAGATCAGTTAGTGATTCAAACTTTGAGAACTCTACAATCTCCATGAATCTCCTACACTAACAGTCATTAAATTACCTGACTCTACCAAGAACGGATAAAAGCAAAAGGGAAAGATAATCTATTATAAATAAATATGAACCATTCAACTTACATTAAAAAAAAGAGTGATTAGTGGATTAATTTCGATTAGAAAATGCCCATTCAACGATAAATAATCAGTACATTATTAAAAGATAGTGAGCTTTTAGTTGGTTAGCATTATTGTAGTCTTTGCTGTAATACATTTACAGAAACTGTGTATATGAAAGGCACTCACTTAATTTCTTATTCTGTCTTAACATGTAGTTTCCTGAAACCACTAACCTTTCACTCTTTTCATCTTTGGTGACGGTCTAATCCTAACAAATATCTTTCGTTTCCAAACTCACCCTGATTACACTTTGTTTTAATTTCAACATTTTTATTCATGTTAACCAACTTTCTCATAATTATTATTCTTTATTTAACGCCTAAAATATTCTTGATGAATATTTAAGGTTTTGAAAACCATAACTTTAGTTTCTTAATTAAAAAAACATTTATTTTCTGTGATTTCGTTAATATGCTCAATAAAATAACTTTTTAACGCTTATTTTAAACAAATATATTGATTATCGTTATGGAAAAAGTGAATATTTAGTGTTTGTACAACTTTGAGAATGCGTTTTCCTAAAAGACAACTAACTTTTTATTGAACTTAACTATCGTGTTTTTATTGCTGAACGAACTCATTCAGAAAAAAAACACAGCAACTATGAGAAATTACTGATGCCTACGTTGTAGCTGACTAAAAATCAGTGACTACTCTAATTATTTTTGGGGCAAATAACAGTGAGAATTATGAATATTTAATCCGGTGGTTTATGTAACTACTATTCGAATCAACTCTTGTGACAATCGCAGAGGAATCAGTTTGACTAATATAGTGTCCAAAATATTAGCTTCAATAATACTTCGACGCCAAACCAAAACTTGTGAAGAGCAGACTAGAGAAAACCAGGCTGGTTTTCGACCTGGACGTGGTTGTATAGAACAGATATTCACACTACGTCAGGTCATAGAACATAGACACATTCAAACGTCCCACAATAGTAGTATTTCTCGATTTAATGGCAGCATTTGACTCTTCTGGTAGTGAGGTTCTGTGGTAGTTTGTCACTGAAAGGAGTACCAAAGAAGTGCATTAACCTTATAAAGGCTGTCTACTCGAACACAACTGATCAAGTGAGAGCTTCTGGCACACTGTCGTCAGAATTGATTACTTCAAGTGGTATTTGTCAGGGCGGTCCATTCTCTCCATTCTTGTTTAACCTTGTCGTTAACGTGCTTTCAGAGATGACAAATTCCTCATATAAATGTCCAGGAGTTGAACTTTTACCGGGAAATTAATTTGTTGATTTAGAATATGCCGAAAACATAGTTCTATTTGGTGAAGACACTGACAAAATGTAGTCTTCTGACCATCGTAAGTAACAATGCAAGCGTGTTCGGGATGCGATTCTCCCTCTCGAAATGCAAAATTTTACTTCAGGGTTGGATTGCATCGTCACCTGAACCAATGACAGGGAGTGAAGTAATGGAGCGTGCCGAACGCTTCACTTGGGAGTCTCACCACCCCTTGTGGTCTGGTGTGTGACAAGATCTCAGCACGGATACAGAAGGCTCGACTAGCATTCGCCAACCTGCGTCATTTATGGCGTAGGAGAGATATCCGTCTATCAACCAAAGGACGGGTTTACTGCGCAGCAGTTCGTTCCGTCCTACTTTATGGCTGTGAAACATGACCGATAAGAGTAGAGGATATTCGTAAGTTACTAGTATTCGATCATAGGTGTCTTCGAAACATTGCTCGTATATCGTGGGACCACCCAGTAAGTAATGCTGTTGTTGAAAAACGGGTACTAGATAAGGATGGCAAATCAATTAATGAAGTATTGAAACTTAATCAGTTGAGATGGCTGAGACATGTGTTACGTATGCCCAAAAACCGACTGCCCTGACGAGCGATGTTTTATGGTGTAGGAGTAGGTTCTACGTTGTTGCTGACTGATAAATATATTTTTCAAATTAACTATACCAGAAGGTTAGACGTATTGTTTTCTGTTGTCTTTTAAAAATAAACATCGTGAAATTTTACAAGTCAAATCTCATAAAAGTAATGTCGGTAAAACTATAATTTATGGACGAAACAATCATATCTAAGATGGCAGGTCTTGAATTTCGGTGCGAAATTCATTTACTAATATGGTTAAACATCATTTTAGCATTATAGCTGATGTTAATTCGTGATGAAAACATCAAATCTAATTCCCAACCCTAACGTTCAACTGTAAATCCTCATTTCTCACACATTCTATAACCCTCATTTAACCCTAGTAAGTAGGTGGACGTTCCAAGTTCATCTTAGCGATGCTCAAAGGTCGTTCGTAAATTATAGTCCCATCAGTAATATCATTAGATTTTTTTCCAACTCCGCTGGTAAATATAAGTACCTTTCCAGGATAATCTGTAATAATGATTGATATTCCTGTACATGTAACCTAAAAATACTTTCCAAATCTATTTTATTCATCCGAAAGAATAATGTAATTATTTTTATTTTATACTGAATTTCGATCACAAGATGTCAATGTCGCAAAATAAGGCTAAATAAATAAGCCAAAGGTAAGATCGACAGTGAAACCTCTTAGTTATCAAATTATTAACAGTGATATTCAGTATATCTGTGAAAAACTACATTTCTCATTAACGTATTTTAGTGCATAATTTCAAGGAAAATTTTGCTAATTACTACATGATTTCGATTACCTTTGACAAACTTTTATTCACTGAATGTTTGCTTGGGCTGGAAGAAAAATGTTCAGGACGATTAAAACCAACAACTTCTCGGTGGATAGTAGGTTGATAAACCTGAGACGCAAACTGGCCTGATGGGCGAGGTAAACCAACAGCTGATGCACGACGAGATCCAAACTGACTGAGGTCCATTTCAGAGAGTGGTTTAATCACAGTTCCTTTCCATTTCATTTTAGCCAAGTGAAGTAAAACATGATTTGGTAATAAAGTGTTATCTTCACGACTGAGGCGGCTACAATGCATAGCAGCAGCTTTGTAACGTTCTGGTACTTTAGCATGCACACCCAGTATGTGCTTTCGAATGTCGCCCATTCCATGTGGTGACGATGAGGAACAACCAGAGCAGCAGAAATATCTCCTACCTCGCCGTCTGGTAATGTACACCTTTAGTGAACTGTAGACACCCATTTTAGCCTACAAAATAATAAACATTTCATTTGTCTATGATCAATAATGTAAAGACTATAAAAAAGATAATAGAAAACGTGAAAAATGCAAACATTTAAATAAATATAATACAGCAGCTGTGCAGGGATTTATATAATAATCTGCTCGTCAAAGTTTTATTCTCGATGATAAAAGACACTTTGATCGATCGAAATTGACGCTTATGTGAGTGGTTTGAGTGAGAAAACACTCTGCAACTATAGGAGTAAGATACAGAGTGATTAAAATATTGTTATCAAACAAGTTTAACTGTTGGACTGACTTGGATGAAAAGAATGGTACTGCGTAAAACAATGAAAAAATACGACTTTTTTTCGATTCAGGATTATTCTGATGCTTAAGTACCAACACTGTTAAAAAGCTTAATTTACACAAATACTATGATTAAAGCAAACAACAAGTTATACAAACCTCAAGAACCGGAAAATAATTGGGTGGACAGTAGCCTTGTACTAAAGTTTTTAAAGCTTCGGATGAATATGGAAGATCAATTACACGTTCCACTTCCTCTGCACCAGAAGCCTGGACAGCATTTAATTGAGCAAGCGGATCTTCCACTTCTTTCTGCATCTTTTTAGGATCGATATCTGAGCCTTCTTTGTCATCATCATTTTCATTACTGTCATATTTAGCGAGTGAGTCATCATGACAAATTGAACCGCTTGCTGCACCGGTATCAGTTCCTTCACTTACTGAGTCTGTTTCAGCAACATCTGCGATTTGTGTTCGAGGCGAAGATGAAACAGAGTGAGTATTTATCGACTGCTGAAGTGCTGTTGTAGGCACTGAAGGATAAGGAGCCAATTCTTTCAAAGGTTTTGAGAAGCTAGATAGTGCTGAACGGCCATTCATACTGGTAGTGGTTACGTCAGGAGGACCAACATTGGAAAGATTATTAAGTTTAATGGGTCTGTCCATAGCTAGTCGAAGAAGCATATCATCAGGATAGATTTGAAAATCATATTCCCTAGTAATACGAGAAGCCTGGCAACAAATAGTGATAAATACATTTGGAATACGAGCATGAACACCCATCACATGACGCCTACTATCAGCTAATGTTGCGGCGCGAATTTTACTGTCAGGTTGTCGAGTAGTGATAAAAAGGCGCCCACAGGGACAGCGAAAAGCTATAGTGCGATCATTACGACATATTCGGCTCATTTTGTAAGTTGAGTATACGCGCATTTTTGATACTATGTCTTCTATATGGTGTTCAGGAGCACCAGAGGATTCCAACAAATGACGAAGAACTGGTTCAGAAAATGGCAAGGCAAGATCAACAACCTTATCAGCGCCTTCTATTCCTGGTATAGATGGGAGTGAAGCTAAATCCACACTTGAGTTAGAACATGTTGTCGACTGTTCTATATTAGATGTAACAGGGGAACCATTGATGTGATTATCAGTTGATTGGATAGGACTCGTAGAATTAGGAGGATGAAAATCTGGAGGCACCGGGGGTCGAATTCTTACAGTAACTTTGGTTTTGGAACCCGGAACAACGGCAGTAAAATTAGAGACATACGAGTCTTGTGTACAAGACGAACTATTCAACGCTGTAGCCAAAGTCGTAGAAGGACTCTCAGAAGAACTAGGATGATTCTCATCTACTGGATTTGGTGAAGCATTTGGGCTGGTTGGATTATTTGAAACCATACGTCTATGTAAAAAATCCCTAGCGAGACGAGCTAACTTTTCATCAGAGAACAAAGTAAATTCAACAGGATCCAAGCGTGATGCTTGGAGACAGTGACGAAAATGTTTGGTCGATATGCCACAATGAGACCCTAATATATGCTTCCTCACATCAGCCAGGGCATGTGGTGATGAATAAGAACAATGGTTGCATTTGTACCGCCGAAACCCTCCGCGTGTGTCAACTATAACCGACAGGCGACAGTACAACTGCATCTTTTGCTCCAAGAATTCTCGCGTGGCAATGGGAAGATGAGCGGTCAGTCTTCGTAAAACGCGTATTGAGTATGGTAAAGGAATACGACGGCGCCCAATCTCGAGGACACGAGGCTTCATCTGACGCATAGCGAGCTGCTCTTGAACCTCCTGAAACCTTTCCTCACTTTTGGGCAGATAAGTAAAGCGTAAACAATCTTTCAAATGTTCTCTGGGGACTTCCAGATGCACTGTAAGTAAATGTCGTTTAAAATCACCAAGACCGTATGGAAACACTTTGTCACATTCTGGACAAACCGGGACACGACGATGATTTTCCTTCCCTAAAATCCGAACAAAGTAAGAGGAGAACTGCTTCATCTTTGAAACTAATGAATCTATTACATGAGGTTGCAATTGTACACGTAGTTCACTGCGAAATTTACATTCATCGAATGGAAAAGAAACTAAACCTTCGCATCCACGAATAATTTCATCCGACGACAGGTTATCATCAGCAAATTTGTCTAGTGAGTCTAAGGAGTCGCTGGACTGAGAACCCAATATATCATTATTGTTGACTTCTTTACTATCTTGAATTGGATCTATAGATTCTGTAGACAGAATGCTGGGTTTAGGCTGAATTGGTATTGGAGATGAAATATCACAAGCTAATGATTTTGAAAATGTACTGACTGAATTCGGAACAGCATTGTTTATATTGAAGTTTGTCAAACCTGAAAGAGCTGCTGCAGCCATAGCGGCAACGGCTGAGGCTGCATCACATGCACTTAAGTTTCCGGCAGCGTTATTTATTATATTCATTGGTGAACTTGCTGGAATACTGGTTAAACTGTTGCTAACTATCATACCGTTATTATTAGATGAAGACTGATCAATAGAGAGTGTATGAACATTGCTTGGTGGCGTTTGTTGAACTCGGCTAGTTAAACTCGTTAACTTTGATGCAGTAGGTCGGGCCAAAGCTGCAAGATTCATAGGCGATTCAGTATTCTCTGTATCATCATCAAGAACTGAGGAGAAAGAAGGAAATAATTCAAGAGCATATGCAGACGATTCCGACTTCTGTTCAGTACTGAGAGATAAATCAGTTGTAACCGGTTCAGAGTCATTATCCAGTAAAGAAACGCGTAGGTGTTCTCGATAGACTGATGCTTCCTTTAAACAAAAAGGTAAATAAAACTAGAGCTTACTGTATAAAAAATAAATTAGATTAATTAAACTTACTAACTATCAAGAATTACACTGGATAAGGCTGAGTGATAAATACTGATATTATTTGTCTCCATTATCAAAAATAGACTAATTAACTCAAAACCGAAAGTCAGTGGTATGCAGTTAACTGTTTAGAGGTAGTGTCTATCCCTAATATAGTATCAAGAGAACCACTGAAGGGAAACAGTACGTAATGTATGTACCATAGAGCAGATGACACTAAAAATCTTTGCTATAACTGTAACTGATTTTTTTATAGATGAAGCGCCATAAATAAAATCCTTTAATCATTGGTTTATAACTACTAACAATATTTCACTAATAAGCCAAATATGTTGGAAGTTTTATTCATTTTATATCGAAGCAATTGTTCCGTTTCAGTTCTGAAAATTTGAATAATTAAGACATGTGTAGAGAATGGATCAATATAAAGGGTTAGGAAGAAAATTATTAATTACTCCTTGTTGACCAATCCGTAAAGGAATGAAAGATCATTCTACATGCTAGCATTTAGTCAACGAAATGCGAATTACTTTGGGATTTGTCTAGAAATCTGACATTATTTCCAATTTCAACGGAGATTAAGGTGATTTAAAGGATTGGCATATATGACGAGAATAATTAGGTATAAAAAACCTGTAAACCAAGACACAGTGGATGTACTGTAACGAACGGTACAACACAATGTCGATTTCCTCTTATCTAAGACTCGTCAGATGGATGTACCTGTATCACAGTATTGATGTTCATACTGCAACTCAGATGCAGTACCTTTCGCTTCAAACGGCGACAGGTTATCTACAGAGTTACTGAGTTCAAATAACCAATAACATGTTTAGTGAGCAAGAGGTTTACATTATTATTAGTAATGGGTTCAATTGTTCAGTCTTTAATATTCAGGTCTGAATTTTAATCAGTCTTGTTGGCATATGTACATCACATATGGGTTGCTTAGATATGGCTGACGAGTCCTAAATATGATTGAGCATGTGTTTTGGATTCCACTAGTAGAAACAACCCATTTATTCTAAAAATGTGTGACAAAATGGACATCTCGAGGCAATCACCATGAGATACACATATGCCGATGAAGGCTGATTGACATTCAGTCTTGAATAACAACGTGAAAATTTAAACAACCATTAATATGTTTCATTTAAAAAATATGATAAAGAAGGACGAAACAAAGTCTAAACTTAATGCAGATTATGAAAGCTGGAGATCTAGGAAAATATTGAAACTATATGAGTTTGTACAATCAAATTACTAGTCCATAGAAAGAAATTCGGTTCTATATTTGAACAGTCTATCGTATTTACTCAACAAGTTATAATTTACCAGCAGTTACGCTTTAACTTCTAGCGGTTTCAATAAACAAGTATAAAACGGGTACATATATGAAATTTCTATAAGCATGGATGTATGGCATTTTTTACCGACTGGATAGGAAAACTTTCCTACCAGCTAATCGTTTAGCATACAATAATACTTGAAATGGAATCTGAGTCCTCGAGTGTATTTACGAGCAGATAATTAAAAGGCCTGAGATTTATTAAAACATCGATGTTTTAGAAGTAATCTCTTTTTCCAATATATTTAGGTGTAGCTACAGTTATCAGGTCAATAAGAGTAATAAACCTTTATCACTAACAGGATTGATGTAAAAGGAAGCATATACATGACATCAGAAAGTACCCTTTGTTATAGGGGAATTGACGGACGGACGGAACAGCCGTCCAGTGCTTCCAAGTTTACCTTGGTGGTTTAGCTTTAATTGACTCATGAACTCAACTAAAAAATCGATTTATCAAGATGTTTAAAAACTATATTAAACTGTTTAAACATGAGGATGAAGTATCTACTTGAAGGATTTGAGAATTCGAACAATGTAATGTAATGAAACTGATAAGGGCCAGCAGTTATGCATTATACCATAGTTTAGTGCGTCAATACAAACCTAAAAATTAAATAGATTTTACTCAGCACCTAAGAATAAATAGTTTGATAAGTCACAGTTCCTGAGTAAAGTGTATACATAAGAATAGTAAGCTCCTGTTGCGATCCTGGTAATCCAAATTTATCTTCTCTGATTGGATTCGAAAATGATTTGTTCATACTCCGAAAACCATATAAATTACGTGTTAAATGCTCCATTGACCTCTGATAGGAATATAAACCAATTGGAAGTATCTTGACACTATACACGTAAAGGTTCTGTAACCGTGAAGCGATTGACTGATTGCATGTATATCTAATAACAGTTAATATGAATGAAGAAAATTTTTGTTCTTAAAGCAACATATCGGTAGGTATATGGTAACAGACAAAACAAAATAACCTACCTTGGGATTATGAGAATAAGTAACATGTTCCGCAATTAACTTCTGCTCTGTAGATACCACCTGACATTTCGAACACCAGTAAATATGACAGCGATAAACTAGAGGTAGTACTTTCTCCGATTCTTGGCGACGATTACGGAAATATGCTCTTATACCTGTACAGGAAGCAGGATGCATCAGAAAATAAATCCACCGAACAGTTGTAAGGTCACAATAAGGACAACGAAGTAGAAAGACGAATGGAGAGGACATATCTGCAAATATCTTGTTAACAATAGAGGCCTGATCAACTACAGTCAATGAGGAAGTGCACTCATATTGTGAGGCATTATCTAACTTAGCAACAATTGTAACAAGATGGTTACAAATCAACTGAAATATAAATAAAAGCAGAACAAGTCCGAGAACAAATATCAAAAATCAGTTTGCAGAAAAAAAAACTAAACAGAAAGAACAAAATGAAACTAAAAAATGGCAATATATATATATATATATATATATATATATATATATATATATAAGCTGTGATAGTACAAAGTTTGAGTATTTATTTTAATATATTTGGATGGAGGCTACGTAGTTAAAACATTTAACTATCGATCTCTAGATTGCAAATACTTTAAGTAACGCTCTATCAAACTTCAATTTTGGGAGCCAAGAATTTACAAAGCCTTACATAAAAAGTGTCTTATAACGGAGTACACAAGTCTGTAATTGGTGAATGAGTTGGTACATATTTGTAAATCGAAAAACTGAAATGTTCCAAAATTTACAAATATATGTACATTTAAGGGTATAGAAAGCTGCAACTTAATTTACGAAACTATAACAAATAGTAATAATCAGTAATCATATGCTGAACAGGGTTTCTCATAAGCTTACGTCATTGTTGAAAAAAAACAAAGATGAAACCACAAACAAACGTACAATAATCACGTCAAATTATCCACAGATTATTTAAGATATCAGTGATAAGTAGTAGATAGATAAAACTATACAACACTGTAGGAAAATATTTCTGTATAAGTGGAGAGCAAGAAGTTGCAACTAGCAATCTACAAATACATAATTCAAAGAACTAAACTAGTCCTTAGGAATTTTTCTGATCCCAAACCAAAACGTGACATCAGTTCATGAAGTCACTGACAACTGAACTGAGTCATGTCAATAGGTGTAAACTATCTGGTCAGGGTCCGCGTGATTATCGTAGCCGGTGGTTAGACTTTGAATGACATGACTCAAAATCGTTTGCAGTGACGAAGGTGCACCCATTCTTTGTCTTCCCTCAAACACTGAGCTTCTGAATTCACCAAAACTTATGTTTATACTTCACCAATTCATACTCTTACTTACAGTCCCCACTCATCCTGTTAATGTCTCTACTACTTTGGAATTCGGCCTGGCAATTTTATCTCTCTGTGTTAATAGGATTATAGCAAGATCAACCGATGGACATACGTATCAGGCTCTACATAGCGACTGACTGACCTTTTCCAGATAGTAAAACCAACGAACCTAAATGCTGTATGACTACGACACATATTCAAAACGTTGTTGTGAAGTACATATTCTATAGAAATTGAAACAAAGCCTACCTCCGAAGTTTCGCGAAATAATTGAAACGAAGTTTTTCCTTTGAGATCAAGGCAATCAGTATGCTTTCGTCGAAAGTGATCTGAGATAAGTGTTCTAGATGGTGATTTCACAAAACAACCAGGGAAAGTGCAGTGTACAAGTGAACATATATTTAATTTAATATGTTCTCCCCATTCCAACAATGTAGAAAACGTATTCATGCATTGACTGCATTGCAATTTGGTGGTCTCAGATGAACTACTATGTTGAGTGTCCCAGTGAATCTGCATATGTTGAAAACGATCAGTACTAAATTCATGAGAACACTGAGGTTCAGATGGACAGGAAAAGATTCTCGGCGATTTTGAAGAGGAAGGAGTTAGTAAGTGCTGGGAAATGTGAATCATCAAATAATTTCGATGAACTATGGAGTCACAGTAAAGGCATAAATGGTTTTCAGTATTTGAATGATACTTTGTTAAATGTGAAACAAAAACTTCGGGATCAGAAGTACTTGAGTCAGGTTTATGAGATACATTTGATAGATAGTTTAAATGGCCATCATTCAGCCCATTGTTTTGTGAGCATATAGAACATGTAAAGCACCCTGAAGCACTTTCTAACAATTGGATGTTTCGCTTTAAAGATGAACAGGTAAGTCTTTTGTCATAACTTTGGACACTCATTGTCAGTAGGTTGTAAACAGAACCTGTCATTTAATACAAAGAAAAGGAAGTCATAATTACAGTATTACTAAACAAATACAAGATTAAGTTTCAGATGCCGTATGAATCCACTTAAAAAGTAAAACAATAATTGACTACGTACAGTTGCATTAAGGTTATTGTGTAAGACTAAGTGATAACATAAACAGAGTTGGAAAATGGAATTGGAACAATTTCGAATCGTTGATGAGAGTGATTGATAGAGAAACAAATAACATGAAATCTTATCAGTTGCACCAGTTTAGGCTATCAATTACAAATTTACGTAGTAATGAGTACACGTCCATAACTACATAAAATACTTTGGTGCGTAAGCAAAGGTAGCGAATATGTATGGTCTATTTTAGAAAATTAATTCTAAACCAATAATGGACATGGGGTCCAGGACCTTGAGAAAAAAAGCGACATCCAAACCTGATTCGGTTAAAGACATCCTACGATTATATCTCGTCCACCTACTTGAGGACCAAACCTTTAGTTCAAACATTTGAACGATTACCTAAGACATCTAAAAGGTTTATTTTTGATGCTTGAACAGTGAAGAGCATTACGTGTTACAAGTGCCAGTAACTCCCAAATGTAAAGTTTTGTTAAAAGACGTATCGATTTCATCTTGATTTGTACATATAAAGTGAACTGACTGAAGATACTAAAGCTTTTACATCTTAATTTTCAGGTCATGTGACTAATCGCAAGAGAATACGCATAGCACTCATTGCAAAGCTGTCAATTATGCATGGGATATTGCATGCTTCAGATAGACTTACATAGATGCAAAATGTTAAAATAAGTGATAATTAATACACATCTGACGACAATAAAAAGGAAAAAGGATATGGTATAAAAGTGAGTCTGTTGGTTAACACACTTTGCATTACTAACAGAAAGAAATCATCCGAGAACACAAGAAAATAGAAACGAGATAAATGCAGCGATAAAATATTAAAGCTGAAGAAAGTAATGATTAAAAATATTTGCAAGAATATCCCTCAAAATCTTCAGCTGCTAAATTTTATCATCTTAAATATCCATCTATACTTATGTCACAAATAGAGGCAATTCAATTGATGAAGATTAGTACATATGAGACTATATACCTTGCATATTATATATACATGAGGAATTATTAAAGTTTTTCAATAGTCACTGAACGGCCGTTACTTCTACAGATATTTGAATGCTTTATCAGGTTGTACTGCATCAACAACCATCTTCTATCCGTCAAGATTCTAGAAGACTTATTGATTAAACCACACTTAATACCAGCAAGCCATATACAACATAAAACCAGATAAGTGCGTCAGCTGAAATTTCCACAAACCATTAACACAACAGAATAAAACTATCAAGACAAAACCCAGAGTAGTAGTAATAGTATCAGCAGATTAGATATACAAGTATAAAGGAGTATCGCCACCAGGTTCTTGGGGAAGACAAACAATGAATGCCTGAGACATTGAGAACGATCCTGAGTGTCATCTGAAGTATTTAATCACTGATCACAATAATCGCGAAAACCCCAACCAGATAATCTACACCTACCTACATGGCTTAGTTTGTTTGCATCTTCAAAATGAGAATGCAGAAATTTTAAAATTTGTCCATGTAACAATGCCTCAAATTGTAGATGAATAAATATCAGAATACAGAAACATTGGTTATTTGAGCAACTACAGGAATAAAAACGTCAGGTTGAGTATGAGCTAGATTTAATGCAGTAAAAAATTAATCACCAGAAAAACGGACACTAACAACTTATGAAGGGGACATGTATCAGTTTTGAGAAATGAAGTGACTGGTAGACAACTGCCTCTAAATGCCCTGGTTCGGTCGAGGGTGGGGGAAGTCAGCTCTCCCTTACGAAATGCTCTCACATGGCCACGCGTATACAGCCACTGAGAGGGAAGTCCCACTCACTGCCTTCTTACGGCGGTGTTTTTTTCGAAGTTGAGAACGAAAAGTGGAAGTTCAGCGCTGTAATCGGGTTGGTGGATAAGGAGGGTCCATCTAGGGAAGTTAGAAAATCGTGGATTCAAACCAATGGTGCACATGGCGTGCAGGATCCTGAGGGAAAAACAGCGCATGGACTAATTGTTGATCAACAGTTACCATGCGACTGTATCTCCTTACGTTGTTCTATTAACTTATGGATTATACCTTTAGGTCAAAGGCTCAGGGCATGGCCTTCTAAGAAAACATCTGATCCGGCTTGAGCACCCGGAAAGTATAACAGCTCTCACACAAATCCATGGAAACTACTACTGACCACATTGTTGTTGTGTGGCGCATATGTAATTTGTGCCTCCTTGTACCGATGTTTACGTTCAAATAAATATTTGCAATAAATTAATGACAATCACTCAGTGGTTCTTACACAAAAAGCATAGTTTCGTTTAATATCCAAAAATCATGCTTAATAGAAAAAGTGTACTTCTTTGTTAAGTGTGCACTTTGCAAACGTTTAGTGAAACCACAAAAAGTTATTTTTGTTGACTTTAATATTTCCTTCGATGAACTACTGGCATTATAAAGTGGTGCAACAAAACGATGAGAATTTACACAAGTGAAAGCTTTGTTAGGATTCAAAGCCGTAAACAGACTTGAAAAATAATTGAAATTCTCTTACACAGATAGAGTCAATATTTATGATAGAGGAATGTAAACATTTTGTCAACTGCTATCGAATGAAGTGCTACTTAGCCTTGATTTGTAAAGTAATTCTGATTCATAAAAAAATAAGGTAGTCCCAACGGAGATTGTTTGATGCACACGCATTAAAAATACTTGAGGCTCAAAACAACGATCTGTTTGAGTATATACAACTCACTTAAACAAGTCATAAAGTTTTTTTTACCATGTATTCATTTTCAAGCACCCAAGTTTATAGGCTAAAGACCTAGATATGAGGGTTAAAGAGATTACTATGTGGTTACAATAAGATATTAAGGTCATATGAAGCAGTTAGAATGTACAACGTAAGAAGCAGACCTATGTACACAAATCTAACTTATTTGCTTTCACAACGAAAGGATATCCGTTGCTTAGAACACTAACCGTCAAAAAACCGACTAAAGTACGAGAATTCACTTACAAACTAGTAAATATGATAAAAATACGGATCAAAGTAATAACTGAACAGCAATCTCAGACGTGAATACTTGTTTGATCTCACAAAGAAATGACACCTCGAATGGCAAATAAGACATCTTATTTAATAGAACGCATTAAAAGCTACCATGTTCTGTCGGAATAAATCGCTTAAAGACCGGTATGAAAGTGGACCTGCATGTTTATAAAGACAACAGCACGCGAAGAGAGTTAACAGAAATAAAGCACTATACCTTTCAGTTAACCGATACAGACATTAAAACCTGAAAATGCAAATTATTACGTTGATGTTAAATAGCTAATAATAACACTTTAAAGAGAACTGAACACACTTTTAAGGTTTCCTGAAAACTGCTGATTTGATTTTTGAAATGTTTTGTACAATTATAGTCCCCCGAAGAATCATTTGATAAATCCCGCTTTTGCAATCTTTATAGGGGGTTGTAAAACGCGCTTTTTCGATTGAGATAAACAAAAACAAAACAATCTGACACATTGTAAACAACCAAGATTTTCGCTAAACAAAATAAACTCATATCGCAGCTGTACATCACTTTTCATCAAAACCTATACTTTGATCGTTTGTTTTGGTTTGTGCGTTACTTTGGTGTTTAATGTTCGCTATTATCGTTGTCAATGTCTGTTGTGTCGAAGAGTTCAAATTAGGATTATTGTTAGTTTCAGCCCTTTTCATGTGTAATATTTTGGTATCTTCATTTGTTTTCTTATGAGTTATTTATGTTAACGATTGTAAGTTTCTAAAATAATGAACTACATTGCCCTTGCTCACAGATTGCAACATTCAAAATAGGTAATCCTTTCAGTATCTAAATCAAACATCGCTTTGTGCTTTACTAGTGTTATATGCAAAAATTTTCATCGTTGTTGCCTTACGTTCACTCCGGGTGATATAAAATATCAGCTCTTGATAAGTATTAACAGACATATTTCAGTGCATCTAGAAGTATCAGATCCAAAGACAGCTTTCTATTTTTTCCGCCAATTCAGCTTTTTAGTTAGCTCTGCTTTATCGAGTTAGATTTCCACCCAGTTTGTCAACAAGTATATTTTCTCTCACTCAATTTCTTGCTGATCTTTTGCATCATCCTTATGATCTATTAAAAAAAGTGCCGATGTTCTTCTATCTCTTTCGCATTACAATTATCTATATTCTCTAAGGCTGGTCTCTCATCTAAGAATTTCTGTCAGTTTGATTGTGACAGCACAATATTCGGATCGTCGTCTGTTAGTCTCAGAACATTTGGATCCAGTGTTCAGTAATAAGGATATAAGGTTGGTAAACCTGTGAGAATCCTGACAAATTGCCTTCCAGTGAAGATCCAACTTCTTTAAAAATTTCCACTGATGGGGCTGATACCACTTGTTCAGGTAAGGCGTTCCAATCATTGACTACTCGGTGAGAAAAACGGTTTGTGAACCTTCTTGCTGACCTCAGAGATTATTGGTGCTGGAGGGAGCAAAAAGATAAGACACATTGACACCCAAATCATAATTAAAGATACGAAATGCCAGTATAAGGTCACCTCGCGTCCTACGATACGATCCAGGATAAAATGTGATTTCATTAGCCGTCCATGTTTCTTAACGCAACTCTTTATTTCGCAAACTTACTGGGAGGCTCGATTTGGATTTACGTTCAGGACTAAAACATTCTTATGCATGTTGATTGTTTATACAAGCAGATTGCTTCTTAAACTTTATACCCCCTCACAATTCGCTTCATTTACTTCCTTAGGAAATGAATTTTCACCTGTTTTTAGCCAATAATAATTAGGGCACAATTTCTTACCTTGTTGTATAGTATTGTTGGTGTATTCAAACTTCAGTAAGTATGGGTTGACCAAAAATAGTAATTTTGATCTGTTCCTTTCCAGATTCTTCCAAAGTTTAGGGATATCCTGCCGCCCAAAACTTTGCTGTTTGGTTGTTTTATCGGTATTTGCTCCCCCAAAGTAGGCCAAAAAGCCACATGGCACTCGTCAATAAAGTAAGTATTTTGACTGCTTAGATGCTCATACGATTAGATTCAACCGAGTCAATCTATTCCACCTACTAGACTCCCAGAAAAGCTAAAAAGAGTTGGGTCTCTTGTGGAATTATTTGATTTCTTCGTGTTGAATGAAGGGACGGTTATTGATACTGTGTCCGTTAACACGTTTTTGTATACCTATCGCATATTTGCTGATATGGAATTAGTTTTGGAAGTTGTAAATAAAAAGCAAGTATGACTTTGTATAAACTGTATAATAATCCGTACAGATTTTGGGATACATGCCATTCAAGCCTAATACCTACCTCTTGGAAAGTTGGGATTATTTCGTAAGTCTCTTTTGTGAATGGTCTGCTTCTTTATGTTGTACATTCTCTTGCCTTGAGCCTTTGCTATGGATCTACTCACTTCATTTTTTATAGTATGACTCACTAAATGTGAATCCTCTGACTTAAGTGATAAGAGGCCAACTACCCACACAAAATTTACCATACGTTCTCAGCCTGCTAATCACAACGCCTGGAGGATTAGACAGGCAGCTCACATTACTTCGTATTATTCAGGCTCTAAATCTCACGTTATTACACACTTGAAATACAAGACTATGACGTCCCATGAGTATGTACCACAATATGTGCGAATCCGGGTTGTTTAAGATATAAATCTCGATAACGGGAGTATAAATCAATAAAAGTAGTTTGAGAATGGATAAAAATATGGAAATAGATAATAAGTAAAGTTAAAAGACGCAATTAAAGTGACACTGAAATACAACGAAGAAATTATTTACTAAATATGTATCCGCTGGGTCTCTAGAGAATATCGTCCAAACTTCACCATTCCTACTTACTCACTCATTAGTAGCGAAATCTCTGGTAGATAATATTTTTTCCTTCACAGTAAATGTTTAATTTTTCAGGCATTAGTTTGTCTACCCGATATGGTAAGGAACTGGTGAATTACTAGCATTATCGAAAAGTATGTTACATGTTGTTTTGATGAAGTGTCTGCATATGTTAAAACTGAACTTTATACTTTGGATTTCTGGATTTGTCAGATATTTGGGACATATTTGACACCATCGCTATCATATATCTTGTTGTTGATTCTACAAAGCTCCTTTAAGATATGGTAAAGTAAAGGACCACTCATGTTTTACGTACTGAGGGGTGGTGTTAAGTTGTAACGTGATGAGAAATTTTTTTGTTAAGCTTTTGTTTTATTCTTTAACATAAACATTTTTTGCTGACTTTTATGTATACTTTTCAAAGACCATGGGAACACTCGTTATTACAATCATATTTGAAAATATTATTTGATGTACTTATAAAATTGAACTGAGTCCATGACAAAACAAGTGCTTACTTACTACTTGCATGCCAGTTTTCTGGTGCCTTTAACTGAATGTTCGTTGTTATAATCCCCCACTGCAAGGCCAGGTTTCGGTACAGATTAATAGCATTCATCCTTTACTAGCTCACCTGTAACTTGTTTTTTTTTTTTGGTAATCAGTTATTATCCAATAATTTTAGATCTCTATCGCTTTATAAGAGTATTTTGCTTGACTAAATTTTCATATTTAAATCACATGGAGCTTCTCGAATTTGCTTGTACTCCTCATCAGAATGTTAGTAATTTGCCACCCATTGTTTTCAAAAATTATTTTCTGTGTATAGGTCTTTCCAGTATTTTCTTGGTGCATGGTTGCAGCAGCCTCATGTAAAAGATTTCGATTCCCCACAGAAAATTATTCATCTTAAATGGCTAGTACGGATCCTCGCCGGTTGGTTTGATGTTTTCCAACCCTCTTGTAATCAAGACAGTCACAATTATGTTCTAAAAGAGTTGATGAAATGCTGTGGAAATAATGTGTCTTCTAAAAGTCAAGATACGACGCGAATCGTTCTGTGCAACATTGATTCAGAAGTGTGGGATCGAATTACTGCAGATATGGAGTATTTATGCCGACAAGCTGTAAATTGTCTGAAAATCATAGCCTGTAAATATCAAATAGACTTAACTCGGGAAAAACAATTACCGTCAGTGCGTATAATCACTATAAATCGAGGTAAATGTTGATTTTGTATAACGTCTAATAATGTATATGTATATACAACTGGATAACGTGTGTAGATATTTCACCTAATTACCATTGCAAGATAGTTTAAATTTATATATATATATATATATATATATATATATATATATATATATATATATATATATATATATATATATATATATATATATATATAATTTTCTACTAATACTATCTATTTCTAAAAGTTACGTTACCAAGAGTTTTTAACTTTTTCCTTTTTCTTAGTCAGTTGTCATCATTCACCACACAACTCTGCAATGCATAAATCAGAGAAGCATTTAAAAGAAATAATTACCATTACACCTTCTATTAACCCATTAATTAATTTATGGAATTTAAATTTAGATACAGTGGCTGAACAACTGACTGTTGCTGATCAGGTAGGAAATTTTATTGGATAACCTGGTTATTTTTATGTGAGATTTTGATTGGAAAAACATTTTGTATAGACTTTTTTTACGATTTGTGTGCAAAAACTCACTCTATAGTAACGCTACCTGAACAATTTTGATGATAAGGTTTATCCTTATGGTCCAAATGGGATAATTTTTTTTATCTAAGTGTATTTCGCTTATCACGAAATATTGGGGTCTACGACGGTCATTTCTTTCCATTTAATTCTGGTTAGTCGGATATATCTGATCCCTATTGTTGTTTTCTTCTATTGAACTCGAGACACTTATCCATGTAAATAAACACTGAAGTGTTACGCACAAAGCTTGTGAATTACGACAGCCACTAATGGCCAAGGAACTATATATTTTCCGGTTTTAGAAATTCAAGATATAATTTTCAAGTTTATGTCGGCTGATCATTTCAGTCTCAAGTTTTGTAAACATGGATACAAACAGCCTTTAGCTTTCACTTAATTTCTAATTAGAATCTGCATTTGATCCTGTTTTTAAACTACCTATTGGCTTTAATATATTTTTCTGTCTTAGAGATTATTTCTCGACATGGAGTTAAATGATTGCCTGATATATGCTAGAGGCAAACCTGCTCCATCCGTGCAAGCTACAATCGACCAATATAATAAATTATATCATCTTGTCCAAAGTTCAATGTTTAACTCAGATCAGGATTTTCCAATACTAGTAGAACCTACACCGATCTATTTAAGACGTTTTAATAAACGGGGTAACTATAATAGTCCAACAACAAGAGTTAGTCCACAGATAATAACGATATGGTCTAAAAATTCACCTAATAATAATTCTTTGGCATCGGATGTGGGAAAATTAAAAACTGGATGCATAATTACATGGATTGATATTGCTTATGTAAGTTTGCTGTGCGGTGAGTTATAAATAGATTTCTTCTTAACGTAATTGTGTATTTACTTTAAACTTTCTTTCTGGACATATTAGGTTAGTGGGTTTGTTGTTATTCCTTTATTTGATGTTTAACAAGAATATAATGACTGACCAATTTGCACTTATTAGAGCTATGTTTTACTTGTTTAGATGTTATATTCTAGGTTACATCTTTAATTCTATATTCAACTATATTGGTTGCAACATAAATCTGTCTTATTTATCACTACTTGACATTAATTCAGTTCTTGAGGTGATTGTACCTTTATCCAGGTTGAAGTTTGTAAGCTTGATTCATTTTTACTTCTTCGAGTTCTACAAATTAAAATTTAGTATGAGAACTCTTGGAAAGTATAGTTTGACCAGTGCAATTGTTAGTCAGCGCATTAGGCGGTGATTATTTGATGATTTTTTCTAACAGCTTTATTATTTGATACCCTATGTTTTTGTCTAACTTTAGATTATGTTGATCATATTTCTAACTTTAAGTAGTATAGTTTAGTTTTCTTATAAGGATTAATAGACGCAAGTTTTGTATGTACTTTAGTTCCCGGAAATAACTCGGGAATTCAACAACTCATCTGACAGTTCTTATCAACATAATGTATCTTCTTTTCACTTAACACTTGCTTATAACAAAAATACGATGTTTTGTGAATTCCTCATTAAAAATGACTCAAGTTATTTCCGAGATACATCACCATATTAGCTTATGTGAAAATCATTTATCTCCGGTATACTTTATTGATTTGTTGTTACTTTGACATACATTGTTCAATATATTATTGGTCTTATTGTACTGTATGCCTATATATACATTTAAAATAAGCTAAATTGGCAGTGATTGATTATAGACATATTGGAAGCTCCACATACATGTAGTAAAATTATTGAAAGGGAGATCTGTGGGACAAGTCAGTGGTAATTAGTAAACTGTTGGATAGATAAGTAAACATCTGTTAACTAGGAATTTTACATGGTATACGGATGCCTTTTTGAAACAGAAGTATTGAATGATACTAACTATCAGAGTTATCAATCAAATATACTTGTTTGCACGTTACCATTCAGTTTAGCAGTTGTATATTATCACTGGCTTAAACCAGGATCAATTATCCACTTCTTGTTCATAAATTTTTAATTGTTCCTTTAATCTATAGATCACTTTTCAAAGCAGGAACTTAATCATTTGTTTTACTAAAGATAAATTCAATGTCTGTTTCTAGGTTCCCTAAATAATGATGCGAAGTGCATTTACAAACCCTGTATGTGTATTTAATTGTTAAAACACTTATTCAACTATAATATAGTTTGAGTTTCGACTCAAATTTGACTCACATTACTCATCATCATAATGGGTAATGTGAACAATTATCACTATCTGAACTACTCAGCTAATCATCATTACATTATTTTGTTTGTCAGGTTTACGCCAAATTTTATGTCAGTTTTACTAGTTCTTCTGGACCTGTACTGCATGAATGTTCGACTTTTTTCGGAATTCTAGTGTTGGTGGCTAGAACTTGCATCTTCCCTATAAAATATATTTTCCATTATGTCTATTTTTCCTTTTTTAAGCGATTAGGACAAACAAGGAATTATTCAGCATTAAAAGCCATAATTATGGCTTTGCAGTCCACTCCAGTACTCCGATTATGGCATAGTTGGAATGTTTTGGAATAGTGAGTTAAAAAGATTTGTATATTAAAAAAGTTTCTTCTTAAATCTTATCTTCTTCATATTAAGTATAAAATAAGCTAGAGAAATTTATTTCAAATCGCTCTTTGAATACATTTCTTATTTCACAAGCATATTTTAATGAAAGTGATAGAGATTTTCAAATTACTATAAGTTATTCTACTTTTTCCACATCTGTGTTGATCTTATTGGTTTAGCATGTCTTATACTAATGTCATATGATTTTCGATTGACTTTAATATTTTCACAACTAGATAAATTTAATTCATATGATTCTTCAACATTTTCATTTCGCTTTACATTACTTATTAGTAAAATCGGTATCTGGTTCCAAATATTCTTTGTTAATATATTTTATCATACTTTTATTCTCATAAATAATTCATATAAGAACGTTAAGAACGTTAATAATAAATACATTTTTATGTCTCAATAAGTAGACGTTTCATAACTTAATATAAGCCACTTGCTCAGAATAAATAAGTAGTAATTATTACCAAAAAAACAAAGTAGTTGAATATTTTAAAAAAATAATCCAATGTCATAAAGTTTTCGATTTTCAACCGATGGGTTTCATATTCAAGCTCCCACTTCACCTACTTCATTTGTGCTACCCTGGTATTCTGACTAGCCCTTATAAAACTAAGGCTCGGAATCTAATCAAAAAATCTTTTGGAACTTCACAGTTATTTGGCTGCTATATATATATGATTTAGCCTTAAGTTCCTACCCACAAACCCTCATCATTTCATGAAGCGGACTCAGAGGGCTTACATATTTTTATTCAACCGAAACCGACTTTTGGTGAATGCGTGTATTTACATCAGATCTTTTTCTGAGTCCCATTTCCTAATTCAGATTCAGTCTCGTCAGTTATATAATTTATGCTCAAAGTTACTCTATTAGTGGTCCAATCATATATAAATACTGTTTGGAACTTGTTGATCTAGGATAATCGACTTATATGTATACTACAACCTCTTGCATATTTTTTCTACGTGTTCTTTCTTTTTTACGTAAACGCGAACTCAGTCATTATCATGAACATTTTATGAAGTTTAAATATTTGGCTTCTGTAGTAAGCTTTGATAATAATCAAGAACAATTGAGAAAACGGTTAGATAAGGTAGGCTATATTATTATAATTATTTGGATGATTAACAATATTATTATTACCGTTATTGTTATTATTGTAATTTCTCATATAAACAAACTGAAAACCATATATCTTTTTATTACTAAGGTAGACATCGCTTGAAAATCAACCAGAATGTTACGTTTGTTTTGTTCTGGTTTTACAAACCTTGAATGATTAGTAATTGTATCCTATATTAAATAAAAATTTGGACTGTAACAGAATTTAAAGTTATTTATTTAACTACTTGAGTAGTTGCTTATTTCATTGATTGATTAAACGAGTTTTGTCGTAGATTGTAAAACGCCATTAGAATGTTGATCTTGATTCTGTATGCCGATTTCGATTATAGAAATAGATGAAACTCTACGCACAAGGTTTTAAATCGTTTATACTGTTTGAGTTCTCTTGTTCTTTATTTTTTAATAAAGGAATACAGATCTACATATGAGAGATTTCCTAACTGTTTTAGTTGACTTCCTTCCATAATTAATATCTGTCATACCATTTATTCGCAGTAGACGCTTATTTATGTACTTACAAGTGAAGACGTAAAACATTTATTTTGATAATCAAAAAAAAAAATACTAGCGCATATAAACTTTATTGATCCTTCTCAATCCTCATTTGTTAAGGAGCACAATGCAAACATTTATCAGTGTCAGCAATTATTGTCTCCTGCACGCTTCACTATGTAGAAAATCAAAAGTATCTAACTCAAAAAGATAAACAGTAAACGGTATATGTGTATGAATTCACCAATAGTCTTACTTGTGTTCTGTTAGCTGATGTGACTACAAGTAGTGATAATATCAATGTCTACTCTTCAAATTGGGTATATGGAAGTCAGTAAAAATGAAAATATTTGCCCAGTATTAAACAGTCAGTAATCAAGAATTGAAAAATCCAATAATGTTCTGAATTAAATCCATCTTTCATCTAATATCATAGATTCCTCAGGTCTTCGAATGGTTTTTTTACATTACTTTTAACAAAGCTGATGTGACTACAAGTAGTGATAATATCAATGTCTACTCTTCAAATTGGGTATATGGAAGTCAGTAAAAATGAAAATATTTGCCCAGTATTAAACAGTCAGTAATCAAGAATTGAAAAATCCAATAATGTTCTGAATTAAATCCATCTTTCATCTAATATCATAGATTCCTCAGGTCTTCGAATGGTTTTTTTACATTATTTTTAACAAAGCTCACATTATAGAAAAGTTTTGTTGTGAAGTGATCGAAAACGCTGTTTAATAATATAAAGTGACTATTCATAAGTATAGCATGGACTAACTGAAGACATATACTTTAAATCAGTTGATCGTTCTTTTACCGAAAATTAGCTGACGTTTATGATGACTTCGAAGCTTTAGGTTCTTACCAAGTGGGTAGATCCATCCCACATCAACTGTGTAACAACCAAAAATGTCCAATATTGTACTATTTTGCATGGAAATCTTAGTCATTTTTCTTAAAACCATTGATTAGATTTTAATCTGTTGTGTAACATTTGTCATTTACATTCAAACTTTTGGTCTTTATCAAAAGTTTGCTATTTATTACACTCCGATTCTCGTTAATTGTCTTCACCCATAATGTAGATGTGAATTAGTATCTCATACTCCACTTTACCTAATTCACTTAAATGTTTTGTGTGATTGCTTACCTGAAGTAAATAACTTTTATAGGCTTGTGCAATTAGTGATTCTAAAATGAATCCAACCATCGCATGGATATACCACTGGGCCAGCATCCAATGGTGTTAATGCCTAACTTTAATCAATCCATGACATTGTGCGACCATCTTTCATTGTCTCCAATGGGTAGCTACCTCACACCATACACGGATTAACTCTACTGGTTACGACTTTGGGAATTTCCTCCTGAACACTAGTGAGCAAATATTGTTTAATGCATATCTAGATATGTACTTTTCATTATCGTTTCATTAAATTTGGTTGGTCAAAAATATTATTACGACTTAGAAATACGTCGAAGTACTATTTGTCGCACTTTGGTCTTATAATTCACATTTTGGTTGTCTGATTTCGTAATTTAAAGTTCTCAATTTTTTGAGTAGATAGTTCTGAACATATACGTAATATATTCTGATTTTTTTCTGCCAATCAACTGATATTGGATTTTGAAAGAAATTGTCAAGTTTTACTTGATTCAATAATGATCAATAAAACTATAAGAAATCCACTTTCCAACTGCATAAATATTCCATTTCTCCTGACTCGCTTCTCACTATATGTGATTGTGTAAATCTATCTACGTATTTGAATAAATTATCTTATTTTTAGAACAAAAAAACTTATTTATTCACTGCGTTCCTTTTTTTGTATTCTGATACAGTGTGCGAACAAAATGTATTGGTACTTAAAACTCAACAATCCAAATCCATTATGTGTAAGTTTTGTAGAATCATTCTTGGACAATCTCTCCTCAGTTAATATGTTAGAGGCAAAACACTAATTCAATAAACATAATTGGTACCAAACGTATACAGGTTTACGACACTTAAAGTGTTCTTAACGAATTTTCAAATAAAAAAAGTTACTAGTATTTTATAAAAGATATTGAACTGTCCGTAAGATAAACGTTGTTATGTTAGCCTTCTGCATTTTTCGTCTGTAAATAATCTTTGCACATTAACAATAAGAATTTACATTTCCAAACTCAGGAATATGATTTTTCTGGAATATTTTCAACAGTCGTCTATTGCATAACTATATTGTATGCCATCACATGCATTCGCTCAAGATTATATTTTGAGTAATTATTTGCTAGTTTTAAACAGCCAGAAGTACGTTATGTGAGTGGTTTGTCCTATACATCAGTATTGAAATAAATGATCATGTATTTACATGTTAACTGAAGAAAGATCTTAGTGCTCCCACATGAATAATTTGGTTTCAATGCGAGATAATATACAAATTATTCAAACCAAACTGTAGCATTTAAAGGTCAAGATTTAGATGTATGGTTTATGAGTTTCAATTATTTACGTTCTATTTACTTACATGTTATTGATAAAGGTGTGACTGAATGCATTCTTGGCGATGACTTTTTAAAGGTAGTAATAAAGTCCATTTTCATGAATACCTTTAATGAATTGTTACATCCATAGGTAGAATTAGTCTTGGTGTAATAAAAACTAACATGGCATATTACCAACTTGAACTACATTTGATAATTTCATAAGATGTGTTCAACTATAAAAGGTGAAGTGTAAATTGTTAACGATTGGATAGTAGCTAGCAGTGGAATCTAGGACGCACATTTCGTCCCATTTGGGACTTTTCAGCTGGACGTACCTGCATCCCAGAGTTGATGTTCGCTCCGGGACTCGAACCCAGTGCCGTTCAAACGCCATCGCGTTATCCATTTAGCTACTGAGTCCTGATAGCCACCTGCTTGTGCAATGGACTGAAGTTTAAATTCACTTGCTGTTGTTTTTACTTGTATCCTCCCATTGTTATTTACTACTGCAACGGATCAGTCTCATGTTGGTATATGTGCATCCTATGCGGATTGCCTCGATATAGCTTTAAGTCACAGGCTTTTTAAGCAAAAATGGATAGTGACAATCCGCAAAGGATGCACGTATGCCAACATGAGACTGATCAATTGCAGTCCTTAATAACAATGGGAAGATACTAGTAAAACAGACAAAATATTGATGCTGGCTCTGTGTAGATAGATTTTTATGAGAAACGGTTTTATTATCATAGCACATAATTTTAGTTTGTAAAGTTTAGGCTTCCGGTTCAATCGTATACTTCATTCGATAAGTGTCTAACCCGAAATAAGAATGAATCTTTTTTTAAAACAAATTACTGGACGTAACTTGAAAAAGAAAGAGATTAAATCCTTTAACCACTAACTCATATATATATATATATATATATATATATATATATATATATATATATCGTTTTTCATACCCCAGTTTTTCAGTTTGTTCCATCACAAAATAGTTAAATTACTACTTAGATTCAATACTTCACCTCTTGAAGTTCTTATTCTAACTCAAGAGCGAAGTATATCATTGGTCTTTTTGTACTGGTTGTTTATTATGTTTTTTTTAACAATCATCTGCATTTTGTTTCATCATATAAAAATTGATAATAGTTACTTATAATTTCCTCTGTACACTGTAATCATTGACTGTATCCAAACTTTGTTAACTAACTGCGTGAAATTGAATGAACTGACGGTTACTATTCAATGCCCTTCTATCTATTTTAGATTTACTCTACTTATGACTTTCAATTATATAGTTACCCTTAATTTTCCTACTCAGACCGTTTCAGCAGGTAAGTATTGAATAAAGCAAGGCCCAGCACAGTTACATATCGGATCAGTATGACATACTTAGGATAAGAGCGAGAAAACAAGAGAGAATTAAAAGTAAGGAATTCAACAATAACTAGCCAAATTCTAAAAAGTAAAGAATTAAGGGTTTATTTCATTACCATGTTTAGAGTATGGAAATAGTTTGCACCGCCCTACATGATTCAAACTAACCTTTAGTAGTGACATTATGAATTAATGGGATGTTTTGATTTGGCAACCTTTAGTCTGTTTCCAACCTGAGTTTATTTTTATTTAATAACTTAAAGCATCAGGTTAGGTGGAAACTAGGTATGCGTAATATAATTCCCGAACTCCTCAGTCAATGAACTTTCGAAGCACTATCAAAAGATTCCCCTCTTTCATCTAAGTACTCTGTCCATTATCAGCATTGTTTACTCGTTTGCTCTACCATATGTAAACAATGCTTTTTCGACAGATATCATCATATACTTGCAGCATTTATATACCTTCTACATTCAAAGGTATATTTCACAACTAATATGAATGAAAATAAAATGTTCCCCTATCCTGATACAATAGCGAAACTACGGTTTCATAAGTTGTTTCGCGATTTTTATATCCCCATTGATTAGTCATCGGTTATTTGGTAACCTAAACTCATTTACTAAGTACAGAGTTATATGTTCAGCTTCAAGTCACATTGTTAATATGTGAGAACTGATGATACTCTCCGGGGGCTAAAATTGGAAGATGAGGCAGAGTTCGAACTTTTTAAATAACTCGTATTCTTAATATTATGGATACATATCCCATTGTTTATATCACTGATTAATCTTACTTAGATAACTGCTAAAAATCAGAATACAGAGTAAAGTTTTTTCGTCCTAGTATGAAATTTGTCAATAGTACCCATTCACGACCTCACAAAGAATGGAACCTAGGACCTTCAGTTGTCAAGGCGAGCCCTCAACCTTTAAACCATTAATTCAACATCTAACGGTTTATATGTTTAACTTCAGTCCGTGATGCTAAGTATTAAACCCACTGATCTCTAAAAACCTATAATAATGATGCATTTGTTTGTAAATATTAAAGATTCTTATTGTGAAAATCATAACAACATATATAAGCAAATAATATTGTTTTCAGTTAGATCATCATCATTATCAGGCTTTACTCTAATATCCATGAATATTTATATGGGTATAAGAGATTATTATACCAATCAAGACAATTTATGAGTTAATAGTCACAATGAAATAGATTGCATAGCTACACATATTAGGTATAAAGTACAAATTGATGTTAAAAAGACAGGTATTTTGATGTTTTCATATACCCTTATAAATATTCATGTATATTAGAGTAAAGCTTGATAACAATCAATTTAAAAACAATATTGTTCACTTATATGTATCGTTTATAAAATCACATGCAACCAAATGGTACATATATGATTAGAAATCAACACTACTGTTGGGATGCTAGATCCCTCAAAATCACTTGGTAAACGTCTCATTTTCGTAATTTTATTTTGAAGTTTTGAACTTCTCTTTTTCACGCCAAAAGCGCCCACTTCTACCTTCAGTTTGTATTTTCCGCTTGGGAGGACTTAAAATGTCATTGGTTCGTTTCCACAATTAATACTCGATTTTATGACGTTTTCCAACGACATTTTCGTTACTATATATATATATATATATATATATATATATATATATATATATATACTCATGAATTGTGTGCTTGTTCGTTCGTGCTTACGGGCTACCTGTAGAATATACATCTCCCTCGGCTGAATTTAGTCTTCTCCCTCTAGTTAGCAGGGCTGGAATGTAATGGAATAGTTTAACTTGTCCTGTTGTTGTGCTACTAACCTTCGTTTCGTTCGTCAGTTTTAGGTGTTATCGTAATCTCTTCAAACGTAGCAACTACCATATTCAGTATACAGTGAATTTTTATTTAAATCTTCTTACAATCCTATCCAAAGGTCACTCTATATATGACCTTCCAAAAACAATGAATACAACAGATATATTAGTTTGTTGATTAATAAAAATAAACATCCATTAATACATTTTTCTGCTTTGTCAAACAAACATACTGATAATAAGAAATATTAGTTCAGCGAAGAGTTCTCTTCGGCGAATTCATTTTCAAAGCTGTACAATTGCAAATATACATACTTATTTTTACAGGATGATAATAGTACTGATAATAAACTTGTTATACATGGTGACAGTGAGGTTAAATTTTTAATACTTTTGTTTATTTAAACTCACTGTCACCATGTATAACAAGTTTATTTCAGTACTATTGTCATCCTGTAAAAAAAAATAAGTATATATATTTGCGATTGTGCAGCTTTGAAAATGAATTCGCCGAAAAGAGAACTCTTCGCTAAACTAATCTTTCTTATTTAATGTTTCAATGGGTGTATTCCGTTTATACTGATAATAATCACTTCATTCAATGGAGTTTTTAGTAAAGCCATTATTGTTATTATTATTTATTTCAGTATGTTTTTCCTTTATGTTTATATTTCTTGAAATTTCAAATGTACTTTTAAGCCATGTGTTTGTGTTTCCTTTCTAATTAAATGAAATTTCGGTATTGTTAATTATTTTATTTATTTAAGTTATTGTTAGGCAGAGCTGAATGATTGTATTGTAATAGAACTTTCCATGATATTCAATTGGTTGTTTGGTCTAAATATGATAAAATTGTGATCAGTGGGATATAACTTGTATTATTCTACGTATGTTCAATAACAATTACTGTTTTGAATCCTTATTGTTGACAGTTAATGCTTAGAGCCCACTGACACAAAACCCTGGATCTATGTTCTCTGCAGGTTTGTACTCTTCAAAATTAAAGAGACTAATGTGCTCAGGAAAATTTGAAACACAATACATAGTGGCTCAGTCAAAGATGTTGCAACTAAGTTATTCGTTTTCCAACCGAATTTCTAACCATACTAATCGCCACAGATTAGTATCCGATGTCATACTGTCTCTAGTCTTTAATAGCAATAGAATTTATCGACTAGTTTGCAGTTTTTCCACTGAAATAAATGATTTGACTTCGTAGTACACTGTGTTGGCGATCAGAAGTTTCGTGATGTTCTGGTATTATGCATAGATTATTTGAGTACAGGTAAGTTTACATAAAAAATACCAGTAAAAATTTGACGAATAGATTAAAATTGACCAGTATCTTATATATATCAACCACTAAGAGATTCTGATCAGATTCATGATTTATTCATTTACTCAACGCTGCAATTTGTTGACTGATTGTTTTTTTTTATTCTCCCAACCTATCATATTTTTTATATTGCGTTTTATCTTTTCTTTTGATTTATTTAATATGATCTACTTTTGATACGCACCTACCGACGTTCATGTTTAAATTACATAATGAAATGGTTTCGGTCAATATAATTTTCAAGTATTTCATAAATTTCTAGCAAACCACTAACAATAAGCTTGTGTATGTATAATATTAACGAATTGACTTCCTTTTCTTACTTTTTATCAACTTCAGCAGAAATCCTTAAGTTACAATAGACTCACATTGATTACTATTTACCAGTAAATCAATTGTAAATATCTTAGTTCTATAGATCAGTTGCAGCCAGTATACCTCAATAGTAACGTTTCGGACCGTAAAGCTAGGTGGAGCAGATTTGAACCCATCAGGAAGCAACAGTTCCTTAAAGAATACAGCTACACCTTACCGAAGAACGCCAACCAACACGAAACCTAAGTCTAGGGTTTCTTGCTGGCCACCCTTAAACACCTGACATTTCAAGATAATACACGCGATATCGAGTCAATTAAACTAGTAGGTATATTGGGCCTTGATTGATATAATTTGATCAGCACTAAAGGACTAAATATACATGTCCTTGATCTCTATTCATCAGTTGACCAGTTACACATGAGCTCCTTTTAAATTATTCTACGTAAAAGAGCACAATATTCAAATAAAATTACAGTAATACAATCAAAGCTGGTGGGTGATTCATACGATAAAAGTAAAGATTCTGGAAAAAGTGGAAAATAAAATGTTTAGACAGGAACTAAAATTAAATAATCATACTCAAAATTTAACTCAGTAAGGAAAAATGTGCTGAGTAACAGTTGTTTCGAGGCTCCAAACACTACTCGTTTGCTATCTAACATCCAACATAGTATACAAGGATTTCGAGCCACTTAGTTTGTTGCTCATACAGAAAATTTGGTTAATTGAATTCAATCAGAACTAGGGAGTAAACAGTAAAACATCAGCTAGTATCCAGTCGTAATACCAAAATGACAGATTAATCATAACCTATAAAACACACATGACGTCCTTAATTGTTTCATTGGATGACACAGGTCTAAATCTCTTTGACAGTATTATTTCCTCTAGGATTGGGGGCATACTGTACTGACGTTTCCTAATCAGCACAGAATGAATGTATCTGTTACCAAAGCGAAGTAAACGTGGTATTTACTGCATATCTGCTACTTTAAAGTCTTGGTATGCTTCTATTTTATATCTTGTTTCTACCATATGCTTTTATTACTATCTCTAATGTATTAATTACGACTATTTAATTTAAGTATTTTAGATTCGTTATACTTTGCTCATCCTTTTTGCTTCTGCTCTTTAGGGAGACATAAACAGACCTGGTGATATCTCACAATTTGAAGATTGTGATGCAGAATATAGCAGAGGGACTAGATATTCAACTTTAGTGAGTGATCAATTGATATCGCCCGTGTAAATATATTATGTCGAATGTTTATATCCTTTCTAAATAAATCTCCAATCACAGATTGATATCATTAGAAATCAAGATGCATTGCACAGTTTTCCTTTTATGGTTGGAGACGTTCTTTTAATTTACTGTGTCTGACATACCACGTAATTTAAAAATTATGACTCATACCATTGATAATGGTTTGTTATTATGCCGTTGTAAATATCGTACCTTTTCTATATGCTACTGGCTCTCTGGACTCTGTATTCCGATGGGTAACGCACTAGTTTTTGTAATGAAAGGTATTAGGTTTGAGTCTTGGTTTATATGCCCACACTAGTGTTGCAGGTACCTCCATCTGATTTCCAAATAGAAAAAAAGCACATCCTGAGTATAATTGCTTTAGCTATGTCGCGTCTGAAATTTGTGCTGTTGCGTTCATTTTTGGCTTTTAAATACAAATTATAGCTATCCATCTGCAAAAAAACTGGTATATTTTGTATCCATGTACCTTAAACATTGCATTGTTTATTGAAGTTCCCCTCTCAGAATTTGCAACTCATTACCAATTACCTATACAGGTACTCCGTAATGGGTTTTGTTTTCTCAAGGAAGCTGTAGTGATAATACCCAGTTGCCTAAATCGAATGGCCATAGGAGTTGTTAGGAACTGTAACAACGATCATTTAAAGTTACCTGTTTTAACCACTAAGCAAATGCTTAACTTACATGACTAATGTCTGACCATAACTTCTACCTTGACATATTTGCGCACTAACATTAGTGTCAAATTACTTTTTATTTGTTTGTTTATTTTTAATCTTTACATTTTCAGCCAAATCAGTCATCTTATTTAAGTGGTGTCATACCGTATCTCGGTGTATTTCTTAGTGATTTAACTTTATTGCATCATTCGTCACCGGATTATATCAGTCGATCAAACTATTCCCCATCAAATGAGAATAAGCAAGAAATTAATACTAATAATCAGGAAAGTGCTCTCCCTTATACTACTACTGATAATGATAGCAATAATAATAATAATATTAATTCGTCAGTAATCAATGCAACAAATAATACTAATGTTTTTTCAAAACAATCGGTTAAAAATCCGTATGGTAAAATAAAGCTATTGCATATATCAGATCAACTTGGAAATTTTACCCAAAGTACACCTGATTTGTCAGCAGTAATTGCATCGTCATCAACCGTACAATCAGATAATAACAGTACGAAACAATCCTGGAAATTATTGAAAAATGTATCATCGAATACAAATGTCCCACCTATTAAACCATCAGTTTCTGCTGATCATGATGATAATTTCCAATTAAATGGGCGTGTCAAGGTAAATGTAATTTCACAAATTGTTATGGAGATTAATTTGTTGTTCTTTTGCTTGGGCAAAAGAGTTTAAATTATAATTTAATGATAATGATTATTATCGCTGTCATTACTGTTATCGATTTCGTCCAAAATATATTGCTCTAATTGATTTACGTGATTTAAAAGACTAGTATTTGAACGAAGAATATTCTTTTCGATAAATTCTCTTCAGGTTCTACAATTATATATCCAAATTAATAATCCGAAAAATGGCCAGTTTAAGGGTAAAGTACATAGTTTAAAGCATGTGAATTTAGGATTGTGGTAAATAAAATACAATAAAATTGTGCATGTTGTTATGACTCATAAAGAATGTTAACTTGAATCTGAGTTTATGTTCAGTGAGATTTTAAGATCTATGATCAGAATAAATATGGGTCAAGTAGGGTGAGAAAAATAATAGTGCAATTACCATTCGATCAAATAGGTAAGACGTAATAAGGAATATATAGGCGAACAACTGATTGAAAACGAAATCGAGACTGCTGTTCCTATTAATATCGTGAAAGAATTATTACTCAAATGCACCATGAATGTGAATTTTAAGTTCAACGGTGAAATATATAGACAAACAGATGGGGTTGCAATGGGTTCACCACTAGGCCATATACTAGCTGATATTTTTCTAGCAAAAATAGAAAATGGTCCACTGAAAAAGATTATTCAAAACTTCACATTTTACTGTAGATACATGGATGACACGTTCATTCTGTGTAAAGATAATACGTCACCACAAGAGGTTCTTAGGCGATTTAATGAAGTACATCCAGCCATGCAGTTTACATCAGAAGAAGAGAATGAGGGCCGAATAGCTTTTCTGGACGTTCTCTTGACTAAGAGAGCGGACGGGTCGTTGAAAAGGAACTTAAACAAAAAAAGTACATGGACTGGACAGTATACCCATTTTCTTAGCTTTGTACCTCTACAGCACAAACGAAACCTGATCAAAACCCTTAGTTATCGTATACGCGCTATATGTTCTGCTGATATAGTTGAACAAGAGCTTAACAGCTTGCATAATACTCTCAGGGAGAACGGCTACCCTAGAAAGTTTATAACTAAATATATGATCACGAAGGCGAAAATAGGCGAAATACAAACAGTGAAGAAGAAATCCCTGTTCATGCGTTTACAATTCAGAGGGGATGTGGCGAGTGAAATATTAACTCAGAGACTACGTAGGACAATACAAAAATCTTTTAACGCCGGAGAACTGCGATTAGTGTTTTCTACGCGCCCAATGGTTACACCGAGACTAAAAGATGAATTACCTAGAATGACCACCTCATTTTGCATTTATCAGTTCGACTGCTCCTGTGGAGCGAGTTACATTGGTCGAAGTTCTAGGAATTTACATTTTCGTGCTCGTGAACACCTTCCAGCGTGGCTTAACAAAGGTTTGATGAAGAAAGTGAACAGCTCAATATTAGCCCATTTAGTACAAACTGGTCATAGTGCCAGTATAAACCAGTCTTTTTCAATTATTTATAAGGTCAGTAATTTTTTGCCCAAACTGGTCAGACTGAAAGTCCTTCAAACAGCTGAAGCAATAGCCATCCGGATGAAGAAACCGGAGCTATGTGTACAGAAGAAATATATTCAACCACTCCTCCTCCCCTGGCCAACATCAAGGCCAATTAATCAATCGTAATCTTAACTATTGAATGACGTAATTTGACTATGACCTTTCGTAGTCAATTGTAATTTTCTCAGTTATCTTTATTCATAAATCATTGTATTATTATTATTATTGTTATTATTATTTTTCGTATTCATTATTAATCTCCCCTATACATGATTCTTCCCTCCTTATTACGTCTTACCTATTTGATCGAATGGTAATTGCACTATTATTTTTCTCACCCTACTTGACCCATATTTATTCTGATCATAGATCTTAAAATCTCACTGAACATAAACTCAGATTCAAGTTAACATTCTTTATGAGTCATAACAACATGCACAATTTTATTGTATTTTATTTACCACAATCCTAAATTCACATGCTTTAAACTATGTACTTTACCCTTAAACTGGCCATTTTTCGGATTATTAATTTGGATATATAATTGTAGAACCTGAAGAGAATTTATCGAAAAGAATATTCTTCGTTCAAATACTAGTCTTTTAATATGACTGGGATATTTAAACGATTAAAATGTTGTGAACAACCCATTACGTGATTTAGTTTTAAAATGGTATGTAATCAATAAAATGAATGTAACGTGAATAACTTGTCATACTAACCATCTTGTAAGGAATCAGATAGATATCAATTTATCCCCTTACTATTGTTTGTTGTATTCTTAGACCAATAAGCAACCACTTCACCAAACCATCGTGTTATTCATTTTTCTTTCAATCTATACTGTAATGTGACTTATTTGTTGTTTTTTAATTTTGCACGTTAAGTGTACTGGTAATGAATATAAATGAGGGATAAATACTTATGCTGTTCATTAGTATCCATCATTTATTAGTTCACGTTAGAATCTTTTAGTTTTATTTCTACGGCTTTGACCTGATTTGGCCTCTGTGACAGAGACAGGAACCTATAGTTGATCTTTATAAGTAGAGGACTTTCCTGGGTTACAATTTTTTAAATCACAAATGTCTTATAAAAATTACGTGTGTGTATTAGGACTGTAATGAACGAATACTCAGATGGGGACATCCAAATGTATTTTTACTACAAAATCACAGAATGTCTTGGTAAAATATGAGAACCATACAATAAATACTTCATTTGCGAATTTCCATCATTTGTCCATCAAATTCTGTATGATTCTTCCTATTCGCAATTCCTTTCTACTCTCTTCAACTTGATCTTCTTAGCCTTCTGCTACCAATGTTTCCACTTCCGATTGGTGTTATGTACTACTTATGTCGACAGACAGTATTAAAGTTAGACTTAGATTATTGGACACAAATAGCAAAGTGGTTGGTAAGATTGTGAATCCTCACCAACTGAGGTGGTTAGGACGTATAATATGTATAGTCGTTCACACCCTACCTCGAAGTATGATGATGACTAACTGGTGTAGGAGTAGATTGGAAGAAAGCTAGGTGCGCCTGTACAAAGACATGTAACAGATACAATAATTAGTTTACTGTTGGTCTGAGACATGTGATCAGGTTAAGACCACCTTTTTAGATTCCACACGATTACCACAACCAGGAACCGTTGGTTAGAATCGGTCCCCAAAGCCTGAGTTTCAAAGGTATGTTTTACTTCATATTCTACAGATTCACTCGTTCTTTCCGAAACTAATTCTCTATACCCATTCTTTTCATAACCATTTACGCTACTACTGCTTAGCGTTTTTTAGCAGGGTTCTTTTCTGTAGGATACAGTTGTCACCCCATGCTCAACTCTCATCTGTCATCCGGACAGTAACCGTAATAGGGTTTCAAAAGGAGATGATACTACATCTACTACCGTGATATTCATATTGTTAACTTAGTCTCACTTTAGTAATATGATGTGACAACTTGGACAAAACAGTGTGTGTATCAGGCATTTTCTTTGATTATAACTGACTGGTCATTGATCAGGAATTTTAATCAGTTATATATAGTATTCAGTTACGTCCAATCAATTGCTAATATCACTACGTAGTTCATACTTAGTGAGAACAATTTAGTCCCTTGAATTAATATTGTTTTAAAACCTAACTAAACTTACTTACTTACTTACTTACTTACTTACTTACTTACTTACTTACTTACTTACTTACTTACTTACTTACTTACTTACTTACTTACTTACTTACTTACTTACTTACTTACTTACTTACTTACTTACTTACTTACTTACTTACTTACTTACTTACTTACTTACTTACTTACTTACTTACTTACTTACTTACTTACTTACTTACTTACTTACTTACTTACTTACTTACTTACTTACTTACTTACTTACTTACTTACTTACTTACTTACTTACTTACTTACTTACTTACTTACTTACTTACTTACTTACTTACTTACTTACTTACTTACTTACTTACTTACTTACTTACTTACTTACTTACTTACTTACTTACTTACTTACTTACTTACTTACTTACTTACTTACTTACTTACTTACTTACTTACTTACTTACTTACTTACTTACTTACTTACTTACTTACTTACTTACTTACTTACTTACTTACTTACTTACTTACGCCCGTTACTCCCAATTGAGCATAGGCCGCCAACCAGCATTCTTCAACCCACTCTGTCCTGGGCCTTCTTTTCTAATTCCATCCAATTGTTGTTCATTTTCCCATGTCTAGCTCCATTTCTCGGCGTAATGTGTTCTTTTGTCTTCCTCTCCTCCTTCGGCCTTCAGGATTCCGTGTTAGGGCTTGTCTTGTGACGCAGTTGGGTGCTTTCCTCAATGTGTGTCCTATCCACTTCCAGCGTTTCTTCCTGATTTCTTCCTCCACTGGGATCTGATTTGTTCTCTCCCACAGTAGGTTGTTGCTAATAGTGTCTGACCAACGGATTCGAAGTATTTTGTGTAGACAACTCTTAATAAACACCTGTATCTTCTGGATGATGGCTTTTGTGGTTTTCCAGGTTTCGGCCCCATACAGTAGAACTGTCTTGACATTTGTATTGAAAATCCTGACCTTAGTGTTCGTTGCCAATTGTTTTGAGTTCCAGATGTTCTTCAGTTGTAAATATGCTGCTCTTGCTTTGCCGATCCGTGCCTTCACATCTACATCGATGATGCTGCCAAAATATGTAAAGGTTTTTACATCTTCCAAATCTTCTCCGTCAATTGTGATTGGATCGTCGCATGCTGTGTTGTATCGGAGAATCTTGCTTTTCCCTTTGTGTATATTGAGACCTATTGCTGCTGAGGCTGCTGCTACACTGGTTGTCTTCTCTTGCATTTGTTGTTGTGTGTGCGATAGAAGGGCCAGATCATCTGCGAAGTCTAGATCATCCAATTGCATCCTAGCTGT